ATTTATGTTCTTTCCTTTTCGCTGATTTTTTTCATTTGGTTGTCTTATCTTTCTTCATTTGCTTTAAGTCTTAACTACTCAAATGATGTTAAAATTGAAGGTCTTTGCCTTTCTCAGTTGAAACAGGAGAAAGAAGAAGCATTAATTCAGAATTATGGCATGCTTGTGCCGGCCCACTCGTGTCTTTACCTCCAGTTGGCAGTCTTGTGGTATATTTCTCACAAGGACACAGTGAACAGGTACATTATTACAACAGTTTAAGATTTTCTTTATTCAATTTGTGAGAAGATCCCCTTCGCTTATGCTGATTGATTCTTGACATGTTTTGGACTGTTTTTTCTCTCAGGTTACGGCATCAATGCAAAAGGGGATGGATGGGCAAATACCCAACTATCCCAATCTTCCTTCTAAATTGGTCTGCTTGCTTCACAATGTCACACTACATGTATGCCTCTTCCAGTAAAACCTCAAAGTTTTATACCTTGTTTTGTGGGGGATTTTCATTGTCATGATCTTCTTTGCAACCAGGCGGATACTGAAACAGATGAAGTTTATGCTCAGATGACTCTTCAGCCTGTTAATAAAGTAAGTAGGTTGAAAAAGAGCATCACCCCTTCAATCACATCACGTCATTTGCCTTGTACGACTAGACACATTTTAATCGCGCAAGTATTATATCCGTGAACTACTAAATTGGTGTCTTTTATCTTCTTTAGAATGATAAGGATATGTTATTGGCATCTGATTTTGGCCTCAAACAAAGCAAGCAGCCGACTGAATTTTTTTGCAAAACACTGACGGCAAGTGATACAAGCACTCATGGCGGGTTTTCTGTTCCCCGTCGTGCAGCTGAAAAGATTTTCCCACCACTAGTATGTATGTTTTTATTTATTTTTATTTATCCAAATTAATTGTTGTTGTATGGAACAAAAAAGATGTGTTAATGCCTAATAGTTCTCTGACTTGGCAATTTTTAGGATTTTTCAATGCAACCTCCAGCTCAAGAGCTAGTAGCAAGAGACTTGCATGATAACGTGTGGAAATTTCGGCATATCTATCGCGGTATGTCTTGGTTAATTATTTTCAGTTTTGCTGTGTCGTGCCCACCCTCTAGTCCTATTCTATTAATTTGATAAACTTGTTATCAGAATCAAGGTTTTGATTTAAATTTAATTATTCCAAGTGGTGCTGAGTGCAGATTTTATCAAATCCTAGTTTCACTATTTAGCTCTGAAAACAAGAAAAATGGATCCGAAGGATTGTTTTACTTTTAGAGAGAGGACGTATGTTCCATAATCACCCGAATCTCTCACTCAAGGTCACGATTTTGATTTGGAACCCCGATTCGGCAATCCTGACTAAAATCGTCACATAACCTATTTCTGTAAAGTTTGGAATTTTGATTTCTAATTTTAGGAATTTTGACTCCAACACTTATAGAATCTTATATCCAATAGTTATTGATTCTCGATTCCGCAATCGATGTATCTCATTCTACACGTTGAAACTTGTTTCCACATTTACCGCAATTCTACCACTTCTCCTTTTTTTTTTTTTGCTTGGAAATGATGTTTAGAAGTTTTCAAGTAGTCAAACTACTCAAGCTGGATATACGATATTAAGCTACAAGATTTAGTCATTTTTTTTGGTATGAAATGACCAATAGAAACAAAAGCGGTGGTCCACGTTATGTACTTAATTATTTAAATGTGCATTTTATTGATCCAATGGAGAGATTGCAACTCCAAGAGGTTAGAAATAATGTAAACGTGCATGTATGGTATGTTAGTCAATGAATGACATTGAGGCATGTATTGTTTCTCTCTCAAGTCCCTCTCGATTCCAAAGACGTCGGAATTTTGATTCCATAAATGAAGGAATCTCGATTCCAACTCAGTTGGAAACTGAATTCCTAAGAGTTAGGAATCTCTATTTCATTTATGTAGGGATCTCGATTCTATTTTGGTCGAATCTTGATTCCTAAAAATAGGAATCTTGTCCCCCATAATTCCTCTTGTACGAATGTCGATTCCGAAAATAAGAATTTTCCAGTCGCCAGCGATTCCTCGCTTTCTATTCCTAAAGCGATTCAGTTTCTGAATTGATTCGGGTAAATATGGTATATTCCTTTTTCAATAGGTGTCTATTTCTAACATTTCGAAAGGTGACTTTGAAGTATATCATGGTCTTATATTTATTCATTCTATGGATTCATAATGTTGCTTTTTACCTTTTCACTTGAAATCAGATCAAGTTTTTATAGTGGTGAGTGTATATCAAATTGTTCATTCCATCTAATGTATGTTTAAAGATTATATAACCACTATTTTTTTGTGTGTGTGTGAGAGAGAAAGAGAGGGAGAAAGAGAGGTTATACGACTGCTCTGTTGTTTCTTCTTTCTAGAGAGAGAGGTTATACAACTACTTTGCCATTTCTTCTTTCTACACTTAATAGTCCATGCAAAACACTTTTTGTAATGTTTCTTTATTCATTATTCTTTCTTGGATTCTAGGGATCTTCCCAACTTATGAAGTCACTTATCTTTTTTTGTCTTCATTCACATTTGAAAGCAGAGTAGTGGAATCATGTTCCCATACAGGGATGTTGACTTGTAGTTTTGACTGTCAAGCTTGCATTTGAAACAATAATAGAATAAGGCAAGCATCTTGAATTCTTCATTCGTTGGGGATTTTAAAGAACATAACAACTGATGCATGTGTGGCTTAGGGCTTGGACCTGATAATTGGTTGGAAGTTCCTTTGTAATTATGCTTGAAAGTGTGATTGCAGGTCAACCAAAAAGGCATCTGCTTACAACTGGTTGGAGTGTGTTTGTCAGTGCAAAAAGACTCTTTGCTGGTGATTCCGTCATATTTATACGGTACAAAAAATGAGATCAATTGGGTTAATTAATCAGGGATTAAGTTTTGGCCTACTTATTTAGCAACTAAACCCATCGCTGAGCAATTCAGGCTGTTTATGTATAAAAGAGTTGTATGCGTATCGGTCTGAATTTCATAGATGGGTGTGCTTACTAAAAGAGTGGCTGTGAAAATTAGACACCACTAATTGTAAGGTTAAAATTCCCCCATTACAAATTTGTTTTTCACTACTAAAAAACTATTTTTTTTTCGCCTTCTTCTGCCTTGTGTACAGAGATGAGAAATCCCAACTTTGCTTGGGAGTAAGGCGTGCCAATAGGCAGCTGCCTACTTTGTCATCTTCAGTCTTGTCTAGTGATAGCATGCATATTGGGATTCTTGCTGCTGCTGCCCATGCCGCTGCAAACAACAGTCCGTTCTCTATATTTTACAATCCAAGGTACATTTCTAGACCTCAAATCTCATATGATCATTTGAAACTACTAAGCCTGGGAAAATTAACTAAATCGAACGAATTATGGGAAAACCACAGTCCATTGGAACACCACTGCCTATGAAAGTGATGGAGAGAGATAACTGCCCATTGAAGTGGTGGAGAGAGAGTGGGACCACCATTGGGGGAGGTGATATCTTGTTCTTGTGGGCCCCTCTCTGTCCATCACCATGCTGATTTCAACTGATGATGATTAACTAATGACTAGAGTGTACTTTCCCATTAAATTTTATGCTTGAGTTGCTTACCTACTGTGGTCATTAACTAAACGGATCACAGGGCAAGTCCCTCAGAATTTGTTATCCCTTTATCCAAGTACAACAAAGCAATCTATGGTACCCAAGTATCCCCTGGGATGAGGTTCAGGATGATGTTCGAGACAGAAGACTCAGGGGTGCGCAGGTATATGGGCACAATTACAGGCATCAGTGATCTGGATCCCATAAGATGGAAAGGTTCGCCTTGGCGTAACCTTCAGGTTGGATGTTACTTCTTTTCATGCAATGCTTCATCCATGTTCTTTCAAATAGTCTTATATTCTCAGCCTTAAAACATTCCCTTTCTGCAATAAAAAGTTAAAGAATGAACTAATTTTTGTTCTTGGATAGGTCGGCTGGGATGAATCAATTGCTGGTGAGCGACAGAACAGAGTTTCAGTTTGGGAGATTGAACCAGTGGCCACACCTTTCTATATCTGCCCTCCCCCATTTTTCAGACCCCAAAACCCTGGACAGCCAGGAATGCAAGGTGTGTTTCTAAAATTTTGTAAGCATTTGTACTTAGTTTCTTTAGATCAATAGAGTTAACATGTTAAAAATATATATATATATATTGTAAGCTTTTTTGTTTGGATGACACAACTAATAGACTTTGAAGTTCTAATTTCATGTTTGATGGGTGTATTAATACACGAAAAAAAGGAATTATTGGGTTTAGGATATAGGCTTGGGCTTGATTGGCTTACACATTGACAATTGCCATACTGCATCTCAAAGTTAAAAGTCCTGCCACTAGACTAAACACAATCCTCCATTATCCCCCCCCCCCCTCCTCCCCGGGGGGCCCCACTACCCCCTCAAAACCACCACAATGAAATTTTTTTTTTTTTATTCAATACTCTCAAATTTCATTTTATCCATTGATGACTGGCCTATTGTTGTGCTGGCTTCTTGCAAAATCCATACCATCATTTATTAACTAATTTTGTGGGAATGTTGATCTAACTATTTCACATTCTCATTAACTTACTGAGGTTTAGTAGGAGTGGTTTTGCAGATGACATTGAAACAGAAAATGTATTCAAAAGGGCAATGCCATGGCTCAATGACGATATCAGTGTCAAGGATTTTCAGAATATTCTCCCCGGTTATAGTCTGTTTCAGTGGATGAGCATGCGACAAAACCCTCAACTAGGTGCTCAAGCCTCTCAGGCAGATTACTTGTCAACCACTCCTCCCCGTGTACGAAATCTCAATATTGATGACCCCTCGAAACAACTAAATTTTCAGACCCATTTCCAACCACCCCACACTTTACAATTCAATCTCCCTAAAGTTCCACAACTAACCCAACAGCACACTGGTCATCTCCAGCAACAACAACAGCCAGCACCCATGAATTTGCAGACCCAAGTGCACCCGCAGGTTGTTACTAATCAACCACACAAAGAACAATCATCTGTAGTCAATCAACCTCTTGGGCATAATCAGATCCACAACCAAATTTTACAACAAAACTTTATCCAAAACCAACAAAGCCACCTTCAAAGCCACCAAAACATTAGTCAGTCAGCTCTATATCAGCATCAGTTGTTACAGCCACAAGTTGAACAGCAACACAATAATAACCTTCAACAGCAACAGGTGCAGCAGCTCCATATGTTACAGAAGCTTCAGCAGCAGCAACAAGAACAGTTGATTCCCCAATTTCGCTCAAGTTTGTCACAAAATCAGTCACCCCAAAGCCAACTCTCAGAGAACCAGCAACACCAAGCATCACAGCAACAGCTCAATAGCAACCAATTTTCTCAGAGCTTGCATAACCATGACCAAAATAAACGTCAGCAATTGATTCAGTCAGCTGATATATCTGCTCAGTTACAGCCATTGCTAAGCCAAATACAAGCAAGAGCTCATTCTGGACACACTGACGGGGACCCATCATCTTGCTCGACCTCGCCTTCCACAAACAACTGTTCTGCCTCTTCAGGTTTTCTGATCAAAACCCAAGAGCTGACTCAGGCAGTAACTAACACAGTGCAAGATCAGCAGCTAAATGGTCAGATCAAGAATGGGCCTCGTGGTTCTAATCACTTGGAAGAGTTGTCTTCTACTGCTAACTATGGTTTAGATGGGGGGTTCCATCAAAGTTCACCGATGCCTTCTTTCCATCAGTCTGCTTACTTGGGTTCTCAGGACTCTGATTTGGCATTCGATCCTAGGAATAATCTTTTGTTTGGGGTTAGTATAGATGGGACTTTGGCACCAGATAGTTTGCTATCGAGGGGCATTGCTTCAGGGAAGGATCTTCAGAGCATGATTTCGGGGTATGAGTCTCCAAAAGACATGGAAACTGATATATCTACAGCCATCAGTTCACAGTCTTTTGGGGTCCCTGATATTTCGTTCACGCCTGGGTGCTCAAGTGATGCTCGCCTGAGCGATGGGGCCATGGCAAACAGGGGACCATGGCCTCCACACCAGTTGTGCATGAGGACATACACCAAGGTTGGACTTGTGCCCTTTGGTATATGAATTCTGTTTTTGTTATGGAGTTCTGTATGGTTGCTTCCACTAATTTGTGGGTTCTTGGTGTGGAATGATTATTACATAATGTCCACAACTTCTCTACGTAGTTAGAAATTTTTATTCATTGGATCTCTCTCTCTCTCTCTCTCTCTCTCTCTCAAAATAGGAATTTATTTCGCATTTACCTTTTATGTTTACCAGCTAGTCTTGGTTTGACTGCTACATGTAACGAGGTATTTTATAGAGTGATTTGTGATTGATCTCTTTTATTCACCTCTTAATAATGTGGATGCAGGTTCAAAAAAGAGGCTCCGTTGGCAGATTGATAGATGTGACACGTTATAAGGGATATGACGAGCTACGGAGAGGCCTTGCTTGCATGTTTGGGATGGAAGGCCAGCTTGAAGATCCTCATCAATCAGGCTGGAAATTGGTCTATGTTGATAAGGAGAATGAGACTCTATTAGTTGGTGATGATCCTTGGGTGTATGTTCCTCTCTCTCTCTAACCTTTTTGGGTAATTCATTTTGGTGCTGTTTTTTAACTGGTCAACTGATGAATACTACAACCTTCATTTGAATTTTTTGCACTCATGAATTCTAAAATATGTTCCCAACATTTTCTTCCCCCCACCAACCCCCCTGTGTATGGTCAGCCTTTACGAGGCCAGGACTCAATTGGTACTTGATCTTACTTTGTTCCCACCGCCCACCTACTAGTCCTCTTTCCTCTTGACTCATGACTTGACACAGCAAACACAGCTCACACAAGGTTGTGTCGAGTTCAAGTTTCAGGTATATATGAGCCAAATTGGGACTTGCTTCATTTCACAGGGCTCAGCCGATAAAGTGTTACTAATCTTGAATTTGAAACGAGCTTGCTACTTGATTTTGCTTACCAGATTGGCAAGCCAAGTCCAAGCTATTTCTTTCAACTGATTAAAAACAAAGAAAAAAAAAAAGTTCTTCTCACCTTTCAAATAAAAAAAAAATACAGCTAAAACTGTTCCAAGAAGAAAGCCGCTATTTTTTCTACATTGATGCATATGCATATGCCTGTAACTGTTTATATATAGGTATCTATGTCTTTCTGAGTGATATATAAGGAGGACAGAAGCCAGTGTGATTCTTTGTTAGTTTTTTTTTTTTTTTGTGGGTGAGTCAATGGGGAGAGGGCCCCTACGCTAGTAGGAATTGAGCCTAGGACATAGCACTGCAAATCATCAAGCGCTAACCAATTAAGCCTGGGTTCTTTTCCTATGATTCTTTCTGGTTTTGAAAACGCTGGAATTCCATTTGAATTTCTCGTAGGAAGCCTTAATTCTCAAATTTACCCTAAGCGAAAACGCCTTCTGGATGGATTTCTTTCACATTTTGTTTTTCAGTGGGATGAGAAGATTTTGGCTCACAATTTTTCTCATATGTATGTTAACTTGTCTCCTAATGGAATTGGAATTAGATATGGTTCATGGTTCTCAACTTGAAGTTTCTTCTATTTTATTCATATGCTGATGTGTTATCCTACAAGTGCCATCAATATCATTATTTTAACTGAGTTTTCTTACACTGTAACGTTTGCAGTGCCCTCCCCTTTATCTTTTGTGGTTTAAAATTTTTTGAATTTATTATATAATTATCTACTTGAAACAAGTCATATATATCAGGTTAGGACTGGTTTCAAAGATTCTTTGGAGATTACAAGCTGGGACTGGAACCTTGTTATATGAAGTGAAGTTATGGACTCCGATATTGTCACTAGAATCCTAGATAGATTATCATTATCATCCAAGCTTTATCCCAGTTATTTGGAGTCGGCTTAGAATCCCAAATAGATGCTCTCCTAAATGTTTGGGGGATAGATCGTGAATATTGTGTCTTTAAGTTCTATCTAACCATGGCGATTGAGACTGTTTGATTTCTTTGGGGGATAGATCGTGAATATTGTGTCTTTAAGTTCTATCTAACCATGGCGATTGAGACTGTTTGATTTCTTTGACATTTCTTGTTTGTGTAGCTTTCAAGTTTGTTTGTGAAAAGAAGTGCACGAGGAGAGAGAGAGAGAGAGAGAGAGAGAGAGAGAAGTATTTTTTATACTGCAATTAGTAATAGTGTTTTACTGCAAATTACTTGATTTCCAAGAATTCATGATATATCTTTTAGCAATTATCTGATTCCCCGTCTCTCAACAGAGAGTTTGTGAGCTGTGTCCAAAGAATCAAGATTTTGTCGCCTGCCGAAGTTCAACAGATGAGTCTCGAAGCCGACCTCATGAATATGCCCCTCCCCAATCAGGCATGCAGTGGCTCAGACAACACTAACCTTTGGAGAGCCCAAAGTGACGACCACTCCAGCAGATTCAACAGCACATAGAACATTCCAGAGAGCCCATGGCAGCGTTCTGGAACATTCCAGAAAACCACCAGAATGGTCTTGATAGCCTTCCAGAATGTTCCAGAAAGTCCACTAGAATGTTCTTGATAGCCTTAGAGAACATTCTGGAAGCCTGCTTGGCTCTACAGCTGTCTTGTCACAAGAACCTATAATGAGAGCAGAGATTGCTCAAAAGAGATTCCACAGCAACCTTTCAGAATATCCCCAAGAGATCAGCTTCTGGAACATTCTGGCATTACTCTTTGGAATACGGCCAGCTATAGGGCTCAGCGCTCGAGATGGCATGAAAGCCCAAGTGAGAGGGAATTGAGTGAGGGATCGCTGGTGTTGGACCAGGCATCATTCCTGCTCACTGTGACCTATTAAAAGGGATATAAATGGCCTCCTTTTTAGCAGAATGAAGCTCATGAGAGGAGAAACTGAGAGAAATGATCCATATGATGTCAAGACATGTGGATGGATGTATAGAGGGCATTGTGTATCATCTAGAGAGAGATCCGAACTGCTTTTCATATAGGTGTGCCTGGTCTCAAATCTAAACGGATTTTAATGGCGGGAGCAGGCTCTCTCTCTGGGTCACCAGATGTTCCAAATTTCAATCCAACCAGGAGTTTTTTCTTGGTTAAAATTTGTAGGTTCATTGTGTACCAAACTTCTACAATTTACCTGAAATCTGTATTTCATAAAGGAAACTGGAATATTTTCACTTCTGAAAAAAAAAAAAAAAAATCATAAAAAGGAAGCTGGGAAGCCTTAAAAAATCAGCTCTATGTGCATTGTTTGCTGTGCAAGTGTGAATATGTATTTACTTGTAGGTTTGTGCTAGAGTATGCGTCTAACTGTATGTTACTTTTTCGTGATTGTTAACTATCTGTATATTAGTGTTTCTGTGATCCCTTCAGGGTAAGG